AAGCTTGGGAGCATGGTCCCAGCGTCATTGCTGCGCATACACCGTTGCTGGGTGCAATCAAGCTTGGCAATGTGGAAAGGATGAAGTCGTTGTATATGCTGAGGCGGCCGTTGGGGTTGAGTACTGGGCACACCTTCCTGAAGAAGCCAAGGCAATGGCTGGGCTTGATCTGACTGAAACCTGGTGAAGATGGTTGCGGAACAGCAGTTTGCGGTTGAAGGTCTCACCGAGAAGTGTTCTACGACTTGTGTATCACCGGTGAAGTGACAGTGTGAAAAGGGTCGTTCAAAATGGGAATTCAGTTCAGGTTCCGTATAATCATCGACCATGAACCGCCATTTGCGGGATGACCAAGTCAGAGATCAAAATGTTGAGTTCCCTCCCAGGAATTCAGACTTATGTCGTAGAGCTAGTCACAACACTGTCCTCCCTCGTGTCATAGTCGGCCGATCTGGAGGCACGCCTGCTGAACCAGATTGATCTGTTGAATAAGCAAGTGAATGCGCTCAGTGAGGATGTTGTTTCCCAGAAGGAAACCGGCATTGTTTGGGCGAGTGCTTGTCGCCAGGCCCAGTGCCAGCGTACGAGCAAGACATCCCGTAGACATGCAGCTACGGGCACCAATGACCCCAGTACGAGTTCTACAACTGGAACCATAGTGTCAGTGACACTGACGACACTGAAAGCAGTGATCAGGAAGCTTCACAATCTGCAGCAGGTAAAGGCTCCGAGCTCCAGCAGGCCAAGCGCAATGACTGAAGTTGTAAAGCCATCCTGGATGTCACTGCAGGTGACAGTTCGCAGTTGGTGTCAGGGAGCTACCCAGGCCAAGGAAAGCCATGTTGTACGTTTGAAATCTGAGCGAGTCCTGCACTGAGGATGTACGGTCACGAAGGATGGGCGGTTGATAACCTGGCAGAGTGGCATCCACATACGTACATTTCTCAACGGTAAACGTCGTCTCCCTTACATCAAAAATGTCTGGGAGGTGTGTGGTGACTACGTGCTGGAATTCACCAAGCATACACATCAGGCAGAATGCATAAGTTAGAAGTAGGTTACACTTAGGGCCACCCAGTGCTGTCATCATTCTGTATCATTGGTCCTAACTGTGGTGGAATGTTGACCATTGCTGCTGCCAAGATTGTCTTGTGATGCTGCATTCTGATGTTGGTCATGGTCTTTAAACTGCCATTTTTAAGGGGTATACAAGTTTCAAGGTTCCCTTGAGAAACTTTTTCAAGGGCTTTGCACAACCGATGAACACCCCAAAAGGAACATATAACTGTAAATTTTGGGCGAAATCGGATAGATCGACTTGCACTTGTACTTTGGTATTCTCGGACATGCTCTTAGAAGTATCAAAATATTTTTGTAAAGTTGTAGTTGCAGCTGCATGCAAGTCTAAGTTTTGTACGTAACGGTCTTGATGAAATACTTTACGAAGGATTCTGCGGTGAAGTACTTCTCAAATCGACTTATGTTAGTGGCGAACCAAGCAGGGAAGACATACAAGAGGAGAAAATGTATGGTTTTGGAAATAATGTGCCAAAATAGTGTTACAGGCAAACGGGAGAAGCGGCTTGTCATTTAACCAACCGAGGTGCTGAATTCATTATCTTCATTGTCCTAGCGAAAACGTTTTAAACGTTTTAAACTTGTTCAACTATTTCAATTAATCTCTTGCATGCATTTTAGGTGAACTCAATGAACCATCAAATCCACTTGGTGGAGCATATTCGATAATCAATGTCACAATTGACAGTGGGAATATTGTTATACAGTGCCAGCCGTATTTTGACCTGAACATCTATGGAAACTGGACAACACTACGTGCTAGACCATGCTCTCGTGAGTTTTCAATGCTGACTGAAATACAATTTTCTAAGTTTTTTTACAGACACTTGAGATTGACATGCACCACTATTGAAAAGATTATCAGGTCGAGGAGCCGCCGACCTTCACCGAACCAACCTGTCACTAGTTCCAAGACCAACAAATGACAAATAGTGACTGAGAGGAATAAGCATTTGTCAGGCCTTGCCAAGTATCTGTTTTGGGGGTCTTTACAATAATGGCTATTTTGGAATTGCGAAATTTTGTTCAAATGGATTGTACCTGACCAGCCGACGGCTGCAATCTACAGGCTCCTTTTGGAGCCAGTTCACCATCTCCCAAGCATTGAGATGCCCAACTTGAGGGTATCCCAGCATACCGCATAACAAACTCAGGACAGGGTACCTGGCTTTCTAGAGAGCCATTGCCTGGTGAGCAGTTCTCTGAACGCATTGCCATTCGCGCCTATGCCGTCAGGTTGGAGGTGACCACTAACAGGATGTAATAGCCTTGAAACCAGAACAACAACGCTACTGACAATTTGGACCCGAATATCAGGCCACTGACAGCCCTAATTCCGATTTTGCAGCGGTTTCCACTTATCTACTGTTGTCGACACGCACACGGCGCGCAACGGGATTTTATGGAAGCCAGAATCGAACAAGGAGTGCGGAGAAGACACTAACGCAAGGCATGAGAATTGAAAATCGTACGTGAATATGATGAGAATGATAGCAGGGAGGATGAGAGAGAGGTTACCCAGGAGCCTGCAGTTCATGATATGGAAGCCACGTTGTCTGTGGATGTCAATCACATCTGAGACGATCTTCACTGCTTCTTTGGTCTCAGCACAGCTGTCAAAGTAGTCATGGACATACTGATGCTCAACAATGCCCTGTACTGCACACAGCTTGTCGCGATGCTCGGCAGCATTTGTGTTCTTCACGAACTGCGACGTTGTAGGTGAAAATGTGATTACCCCCATCCGGCAGACAGTCGGTTTGCTGCGGTCCTACCCACGCCACAAGAATTGTTAAGTGCAGTGATCTTGTGGCCTAATGAACACTGGGTGAAACATCTCTTGTATGTCACCACCAAATGCGAAAGCCTCCTCGCAGAAACCGAACAGTATGGCTGACATTTCCCTTGGTTTTCAATGCAGCATCGAAAACCAATCTTAGTTTTTACGGCTTCAAGGGGTTGTTGACCCCAAAGTGCGGGAGATACCAGGTGGTGTTGGAGTCGATCGCTGGCTGATGAGGAGATAGGATCCCCGCGTAGCGCTTTTCGACATACTCAGCAATCTTCTCGTTGTACTTTGCTAGCAGTGATGGGTTGCGGTCAAGCTTGCGCTCCAGGCAGCGGAGTCGATTGAACGCATTGCCATAGCCACGCGGCAGCACTTGGTTGTCCTCGCGCAACAGGAGCTCCTTCTCCCACATGGTCTCGTCAAACCGCTGAGTTGTTGCCTGCAGCAGCTCAAATGCCCGCAGCTCTTCACGGTTGTTGACTGTAGCGTGCGGCATCTTGACTCCGAAGTCGTCAGTCCTAAACGACGATTTCACGAGCTGGTGCAGTTTTTCGTCCTCCGTAGAGATATTTTACAGAACGGCGTCATCAACTTTGCCCTGACGATGAGATAACCGACCGTGCATGACTTACCGAAGCTTGGTTCGGGAGGCGATTGGCGCGTTGGGCGCGCCTTCGATGACCTCTAGTCCGACAGTCAGACTGACGTTGTCCTGGCCGATCAGGAGCTAGGGCTTGTTGTTAGCGAGTGTGTGGACCCGCACGTCTTTCAAATGCGGCAATTGCTTCAGCGCCTTTGCAGACATCACCGGCTGACACGACAAATCGACGTTGTCCACTGTTGTGGCACTCCTCAGCTGAAAGGTGTCGTCTCCTTGCAATCTAGGGATCTGCAGGTTCAAGGACATAGACTGAGGATGGTGTTGATGCTGCTTATCGGTCCATGTGAGAGACAGCGGCTTCACTGGGCCAGACGCTTGCAGGATCTTGGCTAATCGGGTGTCTACCAGTGTCACTGTAGATCCCTCATCGAAAAGTGCAGACGTCATCACTTCGTTGTGGCCATTTTTCAGTCGTACTGCTACTGTTCGGAGGATGACGCTCGCAGATGGCTTCTGCTTGCTGCAGGTCAAGTGTGATGCCATCGTGATTGAGTTAGTCTGCTTTCTATCAGCAGAGTCTCTGGGTTGTCCTTGTTGCTCATAATTTTACGGATGCAACAGAGGTTGGTGAAATGTCGTCCAGCCATCTAAGCCACATGGCTTTCTCCGTTGCCCCATGCCCATACCCGAGACACACGTAGCACCGGTTTGCAGACCGGGCCAACTTACACCGTTCGTTCTGGCTCACATCCTTGAATGATTTACAGGATGAAACTGAGTGACCGGCTTTCTCGCAGAAGGCGAATGCCCTTGGTTTGCGTTTTTGTTCGGAGATAGTCTCTATTAGTTGACCGGCTCGCAGTTTTGGCTGTTCTCCACCGCTGGTGGTTGTGTTGCCGACTCGTGCCCCTGGTCTTGCTGCAGCCGTCGCATCCTGCAGGACTCTTGCTTCTGCGGCGCACACGAAGCGTCGTGCTCAGCAGCAATCCGTTCTCACCAGCATCAATCCCTCTCTGCCAGACCTGCAGCAGCTTCTGTTCGAGGTTGCCGGCGATGGTGGCGTATCAACCTGGCTAGGTACTCCTGCCACAGCAGTATTTTCAACAAAAATGACTTTCGGGACGCATTGTGTCTGCGCTATGAGTAGTGTGCCTTCATCGTGTGTCTGTGGTCGTGACATGACGACTCATGACGCATTCACGCTCAGCGCCATAACCAGTTGCGGGACCTCTTTGCCGACACACTGACGGAGGTGGTGTGTGACGTGGAGACTGAGCCTCCACTTGCTCCATTGCAGGGTGAGGCTGTGTCAGGCAACACTGTTGCTGGCGCCCATGTGGATGTTCGGGCTCGTGGCTTCTGGTCGCGGCAGCAAAACGCCTTTTTTAATTTTCGGGTTACTCACCCAAGGCCATCTTTGCTGTCGCGATCACAGGTACTGAGCCAGTTGGCTGATCACGAGCAGCAGAAGAAGCGCCAATATGCCGAACGCATCAACAAGGTTGATCGTTCACGCCCCTTGTGTTCGCCACAAATGGCTTATGCAGTACAGAGACCACTGTCTTCTGCCCCCTTTGGCTGCACCGTCACCTACCGTATTCCCTGGTTGTCCGGCAATTGCGGTCGAGGGTATGTTTGCGCCTCGTGTGATGGCAAATTACCTGCCTTCATGGTGCCCGTCCGTCGTTCGTCAGGAAGTATGCTGGTGGCGGCGCTCATAGCTTTGTCATAGAGTGCCGGGCCCGTGCTCATCTTTTGACCTGACTGTGACCATCATAGTTCTTTCTACATGGACTGATTTTATTCCCGTAGCTATGCAGAAGACTTTACTTCAGTAACGTCTGGCGCTAGCCAGGGTCCACACAGCTTTAATTTGGTATTTGTGTGTGTGTTTGTTTGTTTGTTTGTTTGTGTCACGCCTGGCGCTATCCCGTATCTGTCCCGTATCTGTCCCGTATCTGTGACTACAAAGCCTCTACAGGATTGTACATAACAGCTGTCCACAATATTTGCGGGCTCCTGTATCTGTCCAGTACCGTACCAATATTCGTCGTATTATGCATACGACTCCCTGATGTAGAGGGGGATTTGGAAAGAAATAGGGAGACGAGGAGGAAATTAAATTAGAGTAGACGCCGATTAGGTGATAGGATGCGTCAGCATAAACATACTTTGGAAGAGAGATCCCGTCGTCTCCAAAATAAGCGTGAACGAGCGATTCATTGCCGGTCACCGGAAACGTCGAAAGAGAGATCCCGTCGACTCCAGAACGCCCGCTCAGGACAGACATCCCGTTGAGTCCAGAACGCCCGTGATCGGCAGAGTCTAAGCCGGTCCCAGGAAACGTCAGGACAGACATCCCGTCGAGTCCAGAACGCCCGCGATCGCCAGAGTCAGCGCCGGTCCCAGTAAACGTCAGGACAGACATCCCGTCGACGCGCAGAAAAACTAAATCTGCAGCCTCTTTTGCCGTCGAACAGGATACGTATTTATATAGGAGACTGTAAAGTTATGTAATGTCCAAATTTCGACGTGAGCAGCAGGTCACTGGCGTTGATTTTTCGACGTGCGAGCCAAATAACGCGAGCTGAACTTTCGCGTCGCAGACATCCCGTCGACGCGCAGAAAAACTAAATCTGCAGCCTCTTTTGCCGTCGGACAGGATACGTATTTAAGGAGACTGTAAAGTTATGTAATGTGCTCCACAGACAACCATGCATTCGGCGTCGTCATTGGCTCAACAGATCAATGTACATGTATTACTACAAAAAGGCCAGAAAATCCGATTACTGTATTAAAATCAACTAATGTTCGCTGGCGATTTAATTTCGCTGATTTTTCGGCTTGGTACCAACCGGCCAAAGTAAATCGCAGGCCAACGTTTGTCATATAGGCAAATGATGCATGATTGAGCAATGGATGCATGTGAGAGCAAAAATACCGATCGATTTCAAATTTGACGTGAAACTGCGTGTCACGTCGGAAATAACGTGCATCTTAAAGGGGAAGTTAAGGCGAAAATTAAAATTTCACCAGTTGTAGTCTTCGGGGTGCTGAGTCGAATGGTACTGGTCCGAGAAAGCTGAGACGCTCCCTTCCTACTTGAATCCTAATCGAACTCGCGCACTTCCACCGAAACTGGGTGACTGCGCCCTACTAGATGGGGATTTGTATGCAAAATGTCACTAAAAGCGCCATTTCGTTCTTATAAAAGCACGGATGACCACGATTGGCCCATATGTTGTAGTCCTTTGGACGCTGAGTCGACTGGTTTTGGTCCGAAAAGGCTGCGATGCAGCGTTCTTCCTTTATTCCCAATCGAACATGGTTGAAGAAGCGGTCACGTGCTCCTGCGTACACCAGTCACCTTGTCACCGTGCCTGC